CCAAAAACTATCCGTGGGTTTAGCCATAAAAATAGGCAAGCTATAGCTAAGCACCATGCTTAATCTATAAACCTACTACTCTAGTTGAAGCTCCGGTGGAATGAGACCAGAGTACTCTATAAGAGCATTGAAACCCACACAAGATATAACCACATTAAACAAGGTAGTAAAAGTACTAAGTGAAAGATCCTAATAACTAGAGTGGGTGAATAGCCTAATAAAATTTTCTACAAAATCACTAGAGCAAAAAGATTAGTACAACAAATGACGCAAAGCAATTTTGCTCTAGCTCTACTAAGTGTTGCAAGCCATCTATTCCAACAATTCTAGTCAGTTACAATCACTAATGAACACACAAGGCTATGTCACTACTACTACCATTAGTGAGCTCACTAGCACAAGTAATAAACAACTAGTTACTCTAGTTACTCACTAAGCTACTCTATCAAGCTAAAGCTACCACTACACAAGTGAATAAGAAAGTAAATACAAGAGAGTGGTAGAGGGGTTATACCGCCGTGGCAAGTGACAATCAATCAATGAATACCAAGTGAATACTGGGAGAATTCTAAAAGGACAATTGACACAATTTTTCTCCCGAGGTTCACGTGCTTACCGGCACGCTAGTCCCCTTGTGTCGACTGTTCACTTGGTGGTTAACAAGCTAATAGGCGTCACAAGCCTAACCCTACACAAGGGCACCATAGGAACCTACACAAATGAGGGTATTCAACGGCACGAGCAATCCACTAGAGTACATTTTGGCTCTCTGCTAGGGAAAAGGTCAAGAACCCCTCACAAGATCATGGGGAGATGGCCACGAACAATCACCAACTCGTGCCAAGGCTCCTCAGCTGCTCCAAGCCATCTAGGTGGTGGCAACCAACAAAAGTAACAAAAAATCCCATAGCTCACACGATCACTAGTGCCACTAGATGCTCAAACTCTAAGCAAATGCACTACAATCACTTCCAATCTTACAAAAATGATGAATCTATGAAGGAGATGAGTAAGAGGTGTTTGGCTTAGCTCACAAGGATGTATCGATGATCAAAATGTCTAAGAGAGTGAGCTAGAGCTAGCCAATACCTATTTCTAGAGCTCCAACAAATCACATACCCATTGGCCAACTCATCTCAGCTTTTGCGTATTGACCGAACGCTCCAGCAGTCGACCGAACTCGCTGACGCCAGCGTCCAGTGCTTGGATCGCTGCCATGTGTCACTAGCCGTTTGAAGCTAGCCATTGCCATCAACGGCTACTTCACTCTCGCGCGTTCATTGACTGGACCGGACTCACCGAGAAACTGACTGAAATCAGCTCACCGTGGAGTCCGGTGTGGAACAGAGACGTTCTGGAACGTGAAAATAGCGACCGGACACGTTCGGTCACTCCTTACCGGACTCACCTCAGCATCCGGTCCACACTCAGTGCATTTGTCATTCGATGAACAGTGTCACAGTCGAGTCCAGTGCATCTCAGAGCCAAGGTCCGGTCAGAGCCAGCAAGCTGGCCGAGACCTAGGGTTTGCTACCGGACGCGTCCGGTCCACCCGTGGACAGCGTCTGGTCACTGCAGTGACCCTCTATCTCTTCTCCTTTCTTTATCCCTTGTGCAAATGTGTCAACTCCAACAAGTTCCATCACTTATGCACGTGAGTTAGCATTTCACAAACATGTTTTTCCAAGGGATGTTAGCACTCACTAGGTCCTAATGCAAATGCATGAGTTAAATCACCTAGTGGCACTTAGATAACCGCATTAACCGTGAGATCACCCATCTTAATAGTATAGCTATCTATCCTAAACCCAATCACACCCTCTATGGTGTCTTGATTGGCAAAACAAAATGGCCCTATCAATTTTACCTTTGCCTTGAGCCAATTTTGTTTTTATCTTTCTTCTTTTCCAAGTTGAAGCACTTGAACTTCCCTTTTTGGTCACCTCTATCACCATGACCATCATCTAGCTCCACCACTTGGTGTGTACCAACATAGCTCATATACATCACTAATGACAAGGGTTAGTACACTTAGGTTTCATCAATTATCCAAAACCAAATTAGGGCTTTCACTAAGCTTATAACAAAGCTCCAAATATACTTCTAAAGCAAGCACACTTCAATGAAGTACTTAAGTGAAGTAGAAAGTCACTACAACAAATGTTGCATTTTTTGACATTGAACTTATGTCATAATATAAGCAAGTTATGTCATAGGTTGCTATTTATGACATCGGGTTCAAAAAATGCATGTTGCAAAATACATTTTTTGACGTTTACATTTTTCATGTCATTAACCTTATGACATTTGTTTTTATGTCATACAAATTTATGACATTGGTTTCTAAGTCACAAATACATAGACCCCTGCCACATGTGCAAGGCACCACGTGGGATGTCATGCTGACGTGGCGCTCACTTGGCAAATCTAGGAAATGTCATAAAACTGAAATTTGGCCTATTAAGGCTCATAAGAGAGGAAGGCTTCTAAAAGGCCACAAACATTGTTGTGGTGATTCTTTTCATCTGGATCCATTTAGTTTTTTATTGTTTTCAGCCCATATTTTTTTGTCCCAAATCAGCCTATCTTTTCTCAAATCAACCAGGCCATTTTTTGGCAAATCAGCCCAGGCCCAACTATACTTTTTTCTTGCTATTTTTTCGCAAATTAGCCAAGGCCCAGCTACTAGCCCATAGCACATTCAGCCCATGCCCAGCTTTACACAGTACAGCCCACACTGCAATCAGCCCACACAATTTTTTTCAGCCATTAACAATTGCATTATAAAACAAAAATGAGATTCTAATCATGCAACAACATATAGATAGACATTACAGCAAGTTTCACAAGTCATCCAATACCAAATTCATAACCATTACATCAAGTTTCACAAAGTCATCCATCACTAAATTCAGCAGGCAAGGGATAACTTGGCATCAAGATACCATGGCTAGGGTGAATAAGAGAGTACTTGCATTGAGTTGAGATACTAGTCAAGCTATGCAAAGCCATGTTGATGTCGAGGATCAAATCATTATTGAATTATATGGAAAGATGACTTTTGGATGAGAAGTGTAATCTTGATCAAATGGTCAGAGATATCCAAAGTCATAGCTCAAGGTAGTTCAGCTCAAAGCCATGAAAGTATTAATTGCCCTCAAATGATGGAGATTGAAGCAACCACAATGTTTGAAGGAAGACAAACTCAAGTGGTTTTATTTATGTATCATTAAATCTTAAGTATATATACGTTGTACTATTATGGGGAATGCAACACTAAGTGCTAGATGTGGCCTAGAAGTGCCCAAAACAACCCAAGTGAGAAATCTGAGTGATTAGCATAGTTGAGAGAGCATTTTGTGTGCTGTCAGGGAAATCCGGCTAGGCCAGTTTCCCAAATTGGCCAAGCCGATTTTACAAACTGAGAGAGCAATGACTGGCCGATTTGAAAAAAACCAACTAGGTCGGTTCTGAGATCCGGCCAGGATGCCTTTTGCATATAGAGTGCAACGACTAGTTTTTATGGGAGGACTATTTATACCCACTCCCACGGCGCTTGGTGGTTTTCTAAACTTTTCCACGTCCATACACATCAGCTAAGTCTAGAAAGAACTCCCAGATCACTCTTTGTGGGACTTGAATGAAATTAGCCATATCCATTTAATTGGAGAGCAAGATTTGAGCCTTGTGAGCTTGTGTGAGAGCAATAGAGAGCTGAGCAAGCCTTGAGCACTTTGTCGCAATGTTAAGTTTTGTTGTGAAGCATTTGTTACTCTTGGAGCTTTGCTCCTAAATGGCTAGATGTCACCGATGAGCACCCAAGGTGTGAAGTGCCGAGTTTGTGTGGGTTGCGATCCTGCCCCCAAAAGGGAAAAGATCATCTAGTAGTGTGGAAAGTGGTTGAAACAAACCTAGCTAGAGCCCAACCATGGAGGGGGCTCACGACTTCCGCAACAGAGGGCGTGGGATCCAAGTGGGGATCTGAACTCCGAGAAATACATCGTTGCATCTCCTTGTTTTGGTTTGTCTCACTTTCATATTCACATTGCACATATTTCATATATAGTTTCGTTTGTGGCTACTTGGTTATGCTTGTTTGTGAGTGTAGGCATACTTTGAATAAATTTCAAATCACTCAAAAGCACCATCAAGCACCGTGGACCGAAGAAGGGAAGGAAAGAAAGCAAAAGGGGAGGCTAACACATTTTCTGCAGGATTTCTAGATAAACAGGCCTAGCTGTTTTTTAGAATCAGCAATGCAGGATCTACAGGCTTGTGTGGTAAGGTAGAAAAAATAGCCTAGCTGATTTTTCAGACTCTGTGTTTTATTTAACGTATATTTTGCATAAGAATTTTTGTGAAGCCTATTCAACACACCCACCCCTTAGCATCGATTAGATCCTTTCAACATGATGGGTCATTAATTCTTGAAATCTGTTTGGTTCATAACCACAACTTGTTACATCACAGGTTCGTCATTGCACAGTTTTTTAGGTAGTTGTTTGGTTCGCTACCGCTGCACATGTTATAGACTTATTTTCTTGCCAAACTATGCGCAGCTGTAGATTTGATTTCACTCGCCACACTTTCTATAGCAAGCATAATTTGCTTAAGGCTAGGCGTAGCAAACTACAACATCAATCAAACAGGCTTGAAAGGCACAATACGGCTGTAGCGTTGAAGTGTTCAGATTAATATAACCACCACATATCATGGTCTTGAAAAGAGCGCAGCTGCGGAAGGCACACTTGAGGTTGACAGAAAGCAAGAAGAGACTCCAATAGTTGATTCAAATATTCCACAAAAATGTACAGAAGTAGACAATATATATCTCATGGTTAGCATATTATATGCAATAACTTGCAGAAGAATCACATTATCCCTTGATTTAGTTATATATACTGCAAAACGGCTCCTGAAACAAAAGCCAGGAGGCTGATCGGTTATTGCTTATTTTTCCCGGAGACCAGGAGAGGGACTGTTCCATCTCGAAACCAGATCTAGCGCCTCAAACTGTGTAGGATGTATTCAGCATATAAGTCCCTGGTACAACAAAAAAACAGATTAGAAGTAGTACCCTAACTATAAAAAAAAAGATAATTCTAACATATAATGTGAGGATTCAGACAATAAAAGGAAGCTAATTTTTCAGCGAAGGTGAATAGATTTGTCAAAGTACTCCCTCCGTCTCAAAAAGAATAGAAACATTGCTTCCCGAGAAGTCAAACGATCCTAAATTTAACTATGTTTATAGAAAATAGTATCAACATCTGTATCTTTATAAACGTTTATTATGAAAATATAGTTTGTTAAGAAAATATATTTCATAATTAATCTAGTGATGATACTCGTTATGTATTATAAATATTGATACTTTTTTTATGTATTTGATAAACTTGAGATTGTTTGACTCCTTATGAAGTGAGATGTCTATTCTTGGGATGAAATGAGTAGAAAGAAAGAATTCAGATGATCAAAGCTTTCACATCTCACGATCATGTTAAAGCATATTTTCAGATGCATTGTATCACCAGTTTCTGACGGAAAAGCAGACTCACATTGAGTGTTGAATGGCCTCCAGGGAAGTAGTTGGTGGCAAGAAATCGTTCACAGCAACTTCCTTGTTCTCGTTCTTCTTGTCTGCAAATACATGTGAAATAAATTCCAGCGTTTCTGGAGCAACTGTAGTGCTATGATTATAGAAAATCAGACAGATTTGGACACAAATGGCACGTACAGTCTTCAAAGAAGCGACGGATTTCATTAAGGCGATGTGGAGAAAGTTCCTTGAGATCGGTTAAGTGACGGTATTCAGGATCATCAATGCAAACTGCAATTATCTTATCATCTTTCTCTCCCTAGTTATTGCAGAAACAGATACGCCATCAATCCAACATAATGTGATATGTAGAAGTTTTAATGAAAAGTCCATAAATGCATCATGCCTGATCAATCATGGGCATAAGGCCAATGGCTCTTGCCCGAAGAAAACAGCCAGGTATCACCGGTTCCTATTTGGTTGAAGCCGGTTAATGATTAACCTCAGAAGCTGAAGACATAACCTATATAACTAATACTAAGTGGGTTAGATGAAACAAACAGTCGTAAGACATGCTGACCTGCATCAACACCAGCACATCCATTGGATCTCCATCTTCACACAATGTTCGTGGAATGAAACCATAGTTGTGTGGGTAGACCACTGATGAGTATAGCACCCTGTCAACCTACGAAAGCATATTGTCAAATTTTCAGTGGCATCAGGAAAACAATGGTATTTTTTTCTCTTTCCTGTAAGCTTAAATTTTAACAGATAATTTGTACCTTGATCAATCCGGTCTTCTTGTCTAGTTCATATTTCACTTTACTGCCCTTTGTGATCTCAACAACCTGCAAGCATGGAAGGTTTTGACTTCTGGAGGTCTGATCCATCTGAAACTAATGGCTTCCTCTACTTCACTACCCAGGATGAACAACAGGACATGATGCTTACACAATTAAAAACAGCAGGGGCTCCAGGTCCTGGTATTTTGAAAATATGAAGCATCAGCTTGTATGAACCTCCAGAATCATACCGCAGTGCAAAAGATGTACTTACCTATCTCAAGGTCATGCCAGGAATGCGCAGCAACCGACCGCTTTGAGAGGGAGGACATGATCCGCTCGTTCAGCCGTGGATGGCTCTTCTCTTCAGCCATGCTCCTACAACTAGAGAGAAAGATCACAATGAATCTCCTTGCATGGAACGAGCGATGTACAGGAATTCAGCGGCAGTACTTGCAGCAAAAGTCCAACAAAAATTCTAGGTCTACATAATAAACAGTCAAAAAAATGCATTTGCCAAGAGTTTTTGCCATTTACCAAATATGAACAGGATTTGATCTGGGTGTGATCACCAGGACGACGATGCAGGAAGCACAGTAATACAGAAGCAGCAGCGGGGTTATATGGAGGAGCTCTCGGTTTGTCTGAAGCGGCTGGATGGTGATCCCGGAGAAGTGGCGGGATAAGCGGCGCTCAGACGCCTCCTGCATGCACTCCTGAATTAGGCAGGCGAACATGCAGCGAAAAACTGAACTATCCAGATGCAACTTCCATTCAGAGCCAACCAAAGCAATGTCAACACCTCCTGGGAAAGGTTTCACGAGCACCTGAAAAATTGCTTTTCTAGCATGATCCAATTTGCGTTTTGGTTTACAGATCATACAGAGTAGCGACCAAGTTCAATGTTACGGCCAACAGATTCTGCTTATCGATGTCTCATTGCAGTGTCAAATCTCGTCTCAACGTTACAATCATACAAAGTAGGGCCGTAGGGCTGTAGGGATAATTGCGGTAGTTTCATAGAACTGGATGAGAAGTTACAGAGGCCAGTTTACTTGCGATTTCCAGCACATACAATTTCATCTGGAACAGATTCAGCCCATAAAAATAATCGGTAGACCTAAGGCCTCTATGCACAAGTGGCAACCCTGATAACTGATAGGAGATAAATTTAGTCAGCTATACAAGCATATCTATGTCATTTCCTAGCCGGACCATTAAGCCATGAAAACATTCGTAAGCATACATAACCTTGCAACTATAACAATGCGAGGTCATGAATATAACCTACTGAGTGCATTAGGAAGTTACATGCAAGTATTTTTTGATGTTTCAGCCCAGTCTTTGCTGGGCTCTCCCTTCGAAGATGCATGCCTCTTGTGACCACTCCGAGTCAATAGCGCAATGCTATTTGATCTTGGCATCTGGACAGTCCCAGCAACACAATCTCCAGCATGAGCACAGCTCCAAACTCGAGAAGGCCCTTCCCCTAGTGAACGTAATCTTGGGAATCCATTTTTTAACCTGCAAATTGACCACTGCTCGGTATCTTTACCAGCCAGCTTGTCGCACACAGGGCAAGGAGGGTCATGCTTCTGCCCCTTGGGAGTGGTCCGCTCTAAACACTCAGCATGGTAGACATGGGAGCATGGGAGAACACCAGCAACTGGCAAATCTCCAGTGCGTACAATTCTACGAGAACCCCAAGGTGATCTCTTTGTCAGAAGCCTCTCACAGAGGTCACACCTTGTTTTCTGCATTACATTATTAGGACGCCGTGGTCCAGCTTCAGGTCGTTCTGATAAATCAGTAAGATCCATGCTACTTGCCGCACTCCAATTTCCTGACTCCCCATGACTAGCACTACCATAGTCCATGGGACCTGGAAAGCGAAGCTCTCCTGTTCCCTTGAATTCAGAGCACAGAGGATTGCTGGAGCTTGCGTTGGCAACAGGACTTTGAGTTTCTTGTGCTTCTAGTGCATGTTCTGGAAATGAAACAGGGTGGATTGGCTTTGACAGGAATGATCGGCGACTCGGGAAGTTGCGGGGCGTTGATGTGTATGATTTAGGTACAATATCATATTCACTTCCATCAGAGCGAGAGGAGGTGGAACCACCACTATTCTGTTGTCCTGACATTCCCTACAAAAAGAGGATAAAATTCAGTCCCCTGAAGCCTGGAGCAAGAAATGAATATTACTACAACATGAACACCTAGCATATTGCATACCTCTGACAATAATAAAGCACCTACAGGCTCAGCAACTGAAACTGCAAAATAGGTCCAATCAATACAACTCAACAAAACTTTGCATGCACATGCCCATACATATAATAAATGCTCAATTAACATAACTGATCTCATTGTAAAATTCTTTGGAAAAGGTTGCACACACCCGCCCATAGCTATGTGCACACACAAATTAAGGTGATGACAAAGTGACCACTAATGAAAAGGTTGCATGCACCCGCCCATAGTCAATCATTGTTTTATGCAATTCAAAAACATTATAAATGCTCATCTAGTAGAAAAGGACATACAAATGACCATGCACAGAGAACTTGAACCACATGGTAAAAGCGCAGATGACAAAGAATATTACAGGGCGCGAGATACTCAGGAGAGATGGAGATAATTTAACCAGAGTAGCAAATGTGCTATCTTGTACCCATGCTGACCACTAATGATTGAAATTACAACCATATCACGTCATTCAAATAATGCCACATTCTTAAAGAAGAATAGATTTTGCCAACTCATTTGTAATTCAACTGCTACCGTATTGGTACAGGAACTACATTGCCTTAAAAAAAGGTTATTGAGAGTCGAGATAGCTCGAATGGTTCAGACAAGAAAGGAGCATATCGATCAGAGAGATACGTATATAAAATTTGGATGTTTAATTTCTTTCAGTACCATATTGTAGTTGCAACTGAATAGTTAATAAATTGAGAAATATGGAAAAATTCTGACTGATCAGCAACCTTTTCCGCATAGATGATATGTTACCAACCATTTTCATCCCTAGGCACAGTGGCACCCCCATTCTCCGTATCGGTCTGCACCAGACCCAACATTGCTTATCCTAGGAGTCTTAGGTTTGGAAACATTAGGGAGTTTAATCTGGTTAGGTTGAGATAAGAATATTGAAGGGCGGGCCTGGTGTAAGCGGTAGAGTCTTACCGCCTATGACCGGAAGGTCCCGGGTTCGAGTCGCGGTCTCCTCGCATTGCACAGGCGAGGGTAAGGCTTGCCACTGACACCCTTCCCCAGACCCCGCACAGAGCGGGAACTCTCTACACTGGGTACGCCCTTTTAGGTTGAGATAAGAATAGGAGATTGAGTTAGAATTGGTTTGTGAAGGGAAGGTCCAATCTGTAAGGACTGTATTCCTACTTGTCTTAGGAGTCAAGAAAGAAATGGAGGTGTTAGATGTATATGTTGTGCATGTATTTAGTCACTAGTGTAGGGTGTAGGGCACTATCTGCACCTTGTACATCTCCATATCTTAGCCATTCGGCATTGGATACAGTGAGTTGCATTTCCTAACAGGAGGTATCCCCCCTCCCCCTTTCCCTTTCGTCTGTAACTGTAACCATCGGTTGCCACACTGTCAGCCTCCGATTCCTCACCCACCGACCTTCTTTGGCTACAATGTACTCAATGTGCCACACACCAATCAAGCTCCTGACTAGATAAAAGTGACACAGACCTTACCCACCTACAGCTCTGAGATGCTATGGCACAGTTCAATTAAATTGTAATAAGTGTATTGTTTTGTCATTTATGTTCATAGCCTAACAGCCCACAACAGCCATAGAAGTATGGAAGCAAGAGAATAGTGTCCTTTCAATAGAAAATCTTCAATATTTTCTTTTATCTTGTTCCTATATCATAAGAAACTGGTATTATTTGTAGACTTTTATCCTTAGCACAGCATTAAGAAAAGCAGTAAAACTACACTCTCCACCAAGTTAAGGCTTTCCCTCCATATTCCCTGTCACAATCATGTACAGTATCTATCACAGGCACCATACCTAGAGTTTCATAGAGCTCGTGGAAGGTTTATAATTTTTACTTCCCACCACTAGGAACACTCATTTCAGGGGCATAATGATGGAATTCAGCATAATTTTCATAGAGCATAATTTTTCATGATGACAATGATGGAATTCAGCATAATTTTCATAGTGTCTTTGGGATGGTGTGAATCTGAAATGCACTTTTAGAAGAATGGGTGATGATAACATGCTAGAGCTTTGGGATGAGGTATGCCAGATTGCCTCTACTATCAATTTTAGTGATGAGGAAGACACCATGGTTTGGCAGTTTTCTTCTAAGGGTGTGTATAATGTTCAGTCCTTATATAAGATTATAAACTTTAGAGGGATACAGCCTGTTCTTGTCTCCATTTGGGATCTCAAAATTCCCCCTAGAGTTCAATATTTCTTATGGCTGCTAAGTAAAAACAGACTTATGACTAGAGATAATCTTAGTAAGAGAAGGAAATTTGAAGATCCTACTTGTCTGTTTTGTTGTGAGCAAGAATCGGTGTATCACCTGTTTTTTTAGTGTGCTGTAGCCCAGCAAATGTGGGCAGTTCTGTCTGATATTTTCGATGTACAGCTTGGGCATTCCTTAGACTCTATCGGCCAATTCTGGTTAAGTAATAAACGTAATGGAGTGTTAAATCTAGTTACTTCTGCTGCTGTTTGGAGTCTGGAAATTAAGGAATGATTTATGTTTTCAGAGAAATTCGTGGAGGAGTATGGCTATACTTCTTTACAGGATGGCGATCACAATACAGAACTGGGAAATTCTTTGCCCGGAGGAAAAGGAGGACCTGAGATTGAAGGTGATGCTTATCAAGAAGGAGGCGTCTCAAGTGTTATGGCTCCACTGGAAGTAAATGCCGCTTACTGGTGTCTCTGGGGTGAAAACGGTGTTTAAGCATGATGGAAGGTTGATCCAGCTGAAGGAGTATGCTGATGGATGTGAGGTGTCAGGATCACTGCTGTGACGTCCAGTTTATGTTTTGTCAGTAAAGCTTGTTTCTTTGGTCTTTGTTAGGATAGTTTGCGATCTGGGTTAGAAGCAATGGTTTTCTCAGTGGCTGTTGAACTGGTTCCCAAAAACTGTTTTCAGATGGCATCACCATCTGCTGCGCTGTAATAAGCTACATTGTCTGTTGACTTCTTGGTTAATAGACGGGGGCTCGTCCCTAGAATTCTAAAAAAGATTTTGCTATAGGGAAATGGGTTTAATGTTATGTAATTTGGAATGACTATCGTCCCAATAAATCAGGATCAATTTGTCAAGTTCATGAGTTTCTCTTGATCGTCACCCAAGAATAGAGGTACAGTTCATAGTGTTGTGAAAGGGCATGGCCTTTGCCCTGTGGCAAATTTACTATGAAATATAATTTTGCTGCATTCTGCAGTAATTGATACTTGATAGAATCATGTGGTAGCAATTTTCATTGGGCTGAAAAGAAAAGGTGATTTATCTGTAGCCCTTTAAAACAGTAACTTCTAGTATTCTCCAAAAAAATAACTGCTAAAACAGCAAGACAAAAACTATTTTCTACACCAACATGCTATATAGCTGGTCCAACAGACATGCTATTCTGGTGTCCTGTGGCGCTGGTGATATGCCTGGATGCCTAGGCGATATAGCATAACTAAAACCTTGTCGAGTCCTGTGGCACCTAGGGTATGCCTGGCTCAACGCCTTAGGCAATGCCCAAAGAACCATGGCAACAAATATATTAAAATCAAACAGCAGCAGAGGACAAAGTGACACATAAACAGAAATTAAAATTGATGCATAGTACAGAAGGCAAAAATAAAGTACAGATCTTGAGTTTGAACAATCTTAAACACTCTTAACCCAAGAAATACAAAAATTACAAAAGCAGCTGAAACATCAAAGAGGACAGAGAAGTTTGCTACTCCAAGGCACATACCTCTCATGTATTCATCAACACTAGAATCTTGCAGCATCGGTAGCATAATATGGTGGTTCTGGAAGCTGACATCTGGGCTGTTGAGATACGAAATGGCACCCTCAGATGTAGAGTAGCGGTGATCTTGTGGAAGCTCATTCCTCTCCCAGCTCCTACTAGCTCCTTTACTATTCGATGATAGTGATGACCCATAACTCACAGCGACCCCCCTATCACCATGGGATCCATAAGACAACCCTTCCGAGTTGATCCTGTACTCCCACCCCCTAGACAGAGGTGGAGAAAAGCCAGCACCAGTCCGCCAGGGTGGGTCGCTGCGGCTAATAGAGGACCACTCCTGGCTTGCTGTGCTAGCCCCATGTGGCCGTGCCGCCACGCAGCATAACGAACCCATCCTGTTAAAACTCTAATACAGCACCCTAAGTAGTATGTACATTCATTCCAAGGTTTTCTTGCTGCACATCCAACAGAGAATCCCTATTCAGACAACATGGGTGGTCTCCTAGCTGTTTCAATCTGTGAGGCAGGGTAACCGACTGATCTTAATTTCAAAGAAATTCTGTCTAATATCCAAGAGACCTTAAAAGAAACAAGAAATGACATGAAAAGATCCCAAATTTACCACTATGTTAGATTTTTGCCATCACCGCTGCTAAGTAGACTGAAATGCCCCTGACCGTGGCTTACTGGTGACGCCTGTCCGTCGCTAGTCCCGGCACCCCCCAGCGGCCAAGCTTCCCCACCGCCCCCGCTCCACCACCTCCAGCACAGCACCGACGCCACGGACGGGCGGCGCAACCTGCCACGGCCACGAATCACGAGTGAGGGTGGGCGGCGGCCCATCTAGGGCTAAGGGGAGGGGAGCGACCCAGACCTGCTTGACGGGGTCGACGCTGTCCCCTAGTGCTCCTCCGGAGTAGCTCAGCGTGGTGGGGGTGGGGAGCGTTCCTACTGGAGCAGGAGCGGCGGATTGAAGTGGAGTGGAGGTAGCGGATGGAAGCGGCCATATTTAACTTTTTACCGTTACCACGGACGGCGACTCTTCGCGTAGCACTGATTGAGGATATGGTTTTACCAGCACGGAGAGAAAATCGATAAGCATTTGTCATTTTTGCTCGTGTGGCACGTCAGCACTGTAGTCCCGCTTGAATCTGAGTCAGCAGTCTCAGATAAAATAACCGCCCTACTCCTGTCCCTGGCTTCTCTATTCTCCACCTTCTACCTTCCCTTCACACTAACACGTGAGCCTCACATGTCAGATTCTCCTTCAACCTCCGGTCATCACCACACAGTGAGGGAAGGCAAGGAGCTTGTGCAGTCCCGGCCGATGTTTTTCTTCATCACGGTGACCTTCTCTAGCGAGCCGCCTGGGCCGGTGCCGCCACGCGCGAGCGCTTCTTCTGCAGGGGAAGGACTCTGCTTTGGCCGGCACGTCTCCTTCCTCCGAGCCGACGGGCGCTCCGCCGGTGAAGCAGGGGTGGTCGTGGACGAGCAGCAGTTCTCTGATAGGCACGCCGGCCCATGTGAGCAAAGCTATGCAGCGTGTCGAATGTCGGCCTGAGCTGTGCGCCTTGCTCCGATGCTCCAGGTCCAGCGGTGCGCATGGGATCGAGGTCATGCTCCATGCCCGAGGCCCGTGAGTCGCGAGAGGTCCCAGGCCAGTTCTAGAGATTGGACCCACGCCATCGCTCACCACCGCGTCATACATGGAGACACTGCGGTCGCTGATGCCACCACTGTTGCAGCGGCAGATGGTGGCTACGCACCTCCGCAAGAGGTGGCAAGGCTATCGGCTTTGGGTCGCTCAATGGCCAGAGAGCTGGTGTTGTTGCAGGAGCTAGAGAAGCACCTACTCGGCGACGACGACTGAGTGAATGCTGCTCTATGGTCACCACTCACCAGCTTCGCGTGGGGAGATACATGAGCCTAATGGCATCACCGCTGCGCCTTTGACGTCTCTTCCCAACAACTACAACACCGTGCCTGCCATGTCAAGGCCTAGGTTGAACTCCTCCTCGTCCACGGCTTCTTCACTGTCAACGTCTAGCTCGCCGCCGACCTCGACGGCCTCGTCACGGCAGCTGCTGTCCGAGGCCGCCGCCACCATGTCGACGACAACCAGTCAACCACGGACGAGAGCGTTCGTTCTCTCGTGTGTCCCAGACAAGAGCATGTCCCTGCCGAACCCGCGCGATGAGCTCCTCCGCAGCGTGTGTCGATGCGCTCGGCCATGGCTCAGTCCCCTCCTTCGATGAAGGCATTGCTGTCCGGATCTGGCGCGCAGCCCTTCCCCGGCTCCGGTGGGCATGACCGCGGCTTCGGCGAGCGCCGCCCTTCCCCGGCTCCAGCGCGGGCAACCCGGACTCCGGTGAGCGCGGCCGGCTCCGGCGAGCATGACCCCGGCTCCAGCGACTGCCCTCGAGCCGAGGAGGAGGGGTAGCCGAGCCAAGCAGACCGACCACGCGACGCTTGTTGCTGCCGCAGCAAGCCGAGACACACGACCTGACCTCCCCAGCTAGCTACTAGTAGCTGCCAGCCGCCTACAAGGCACAGGCAAGCGGCACGAGCTCCATCAGTGAGGGAGGGAGGCCCCTGCCACCCGTGCCTCCCCTACCACACTCGTCTGACTGCACGAGCTCCTCCCCTTCGCTCACTGCATGGTGATGGCTGGAGGTTGAAGGAGAATCTGACTTGTGGGGCCCATGTGTCAGTGAGAGGGGAGAATAGAGAAGCTAGGGGCAAGAGCGGTCATTTTTGTTGAACCTGCTGACTCGGATCAAGCTGGACTACGGTGCTGGCGTGCCACGTGAGCAAAAGTGACAAATGTGTATCGATTTTCTCTCTCTGCTGCTAAAACCGTATCATCAATTCTAAGAGTGCTATACGAGGAGTCGCCATCCGTTATAATGGTAAAAAGTTAAATATCCCATGGAAGTGGAGTGGGGAGCCAATGGCAAGGGAGGTGAGGCGCGATTGGCGAGAGGAATCATGGGCTGAACCGAGGCAGTCGACCAAGGGGCAGGAATGTCATTTTTTTATGTGCCTTTTTGAGGAAACAAGTAACAATCTTTTTGCGTGTTTGCTTCACGGCAACGGTAGTATCAAATGTAGCCTAGATCAACTTACACAATATTACTGGAGAATTCTACCATAGCTTTCTTTGGATAGCTCTAACTCCTTTGATATCCTGACTTGTTCCGGATCAACAAAATTAGAATTTAGTCCTTATGAAAAATGGGGCCACTAAAATAACGGACAGGCTAGCGTCCGGACGTCGGGCCCTATGCCGGCGTCTAGACGCACCTCCCGCGCCCCGCGCTTGCCTCGTGATGCATGCCCTGCTCACTCGGATTCCGTGCCACTCAAATGACTCGCCCCACCCACGCCGTCCGCCTCCACGCGGGCCCATGTCACCCAACACATCACCAACATCGAGAAGAGGAGGAGACACCGAGGCAAGACAGCAGAAGGCGAGAAGGGAGATACAATACCGATCTACTTTTTGAAACATCCAAATAAAACATTTGCAACATACGTTCAAAAATAGTTGAAACACTAGCAGTATACATCTGAAACACTTGTAAAAACACCTGAAAACGCTTGAAAAGTCATTGCAAAATATATACAACATCCAGACAAAACACATGCGATGTATGTGTGAAACACAGATAAACACACGTATAACATACATCTAGTAAAACAACTGAAACATTAGGAACGAAAGCTTGCAACATACGTGTACAACCATTGCAACATATTACATATGCAACACCCCAATCTACTTTTACAACATCCATATGAAACACTTACAACATCTAGATGAAATATTTGAAACACTTGAAACTTACTCTTGCCACATGCGTTTTCAGCGCGTAATGTCACCTTGCTGCTTGGATGAATCGTGGAGCTCGACGTCGTTGTGGCGCATGGAGTTCGCCGGTGCGTCCTTGGACGAGGACCTGCTTGACTGCCTAGGCGAGCCCCTACTCGGCTGCCAAGGTGAGCAGCTGTGCGAGGCATGCGAGCACCCTGGGCGAGCATCTGCGCAAGCACCCTTGGACGAGCACCTGCTCAGCAACTTAGGCCAGCGCACCCTAGGCGCAGCGAAGGATGGACACGGCGCGACGAGGGATGAAGGTGTGGTGGGGGATGGCGGCGGCGGCACGCCGGAGTGGCCTAGCAGGGTCGGCGGTCGAGCGCTATGCCTCGGAGGCGGTCGTGCATTGTGCTTGGCTGAGCCAGCAGCCGAGTGCTGGAGGTGACGAGCGAGCGGATGGGAACGAGTACATAGATGAGCGGATTTTTTATTTAGAAATGGAGAGAGGGGTCTGGGCTGGCGTCAGATGGTCCACCAACAGAGCTTCCGAGCATTACCGATGAAATATCATCCCGAATTTGAGTTTCACTCCATTGCTATTATCCAATATATATGGTGTACTCCTTCCATCCCAAACTCTAAGTCGTTCCAATTTTCTTGGAGAGTCAAAATATATCAAGTTTGACTAAATTTTTATAATAAATAAATAATACTCTCTCCATCCCAAATTATAAGTCATTCCAAGAATCTTGGAGACTCATAGCATCTCGACCAAATTTATATAATAAAATAATAACATTTATGTCACCAACTAAGTATCATTAGATTCTTCATCAATCATATTTTATAGTATAACTATTTGATGTCACAAATCTTTTATAATTCTCTCTACAAGTTTGATCATACTTGAAATGTTTTTACTCTCCAAAAGAGTTGGAATGACTTATAATTTAGAATGGGGAGTAACATTTATGATACCAAATAAATATCATTAGATTTTTTATTAACTATACTTTTATAGTATACCTATTTGATGTCATATAAATCTTTTTAATTCTCTATAGAGTTTTGGTCAAACTTTAGATGCTTTGACTCTCCAAAAAAGTTAAAATGACTTATAGTTTGGAATGGAGAGAGTGCACACTTAGGCCCCTTTGGAACACATGAATTTCATGGGAATTAGATGATATAGAGAAGACATGTGATTGAACAAAAAATTATTTGGAAACAACTATGCCTTGGAAATATAGTTTCTATGTATAGTGTCTACATGATTTAACAAGTATGGAAACTACCTCGGAGTAACATTTATAATACCAAATAAATATTATTAGATTTTTCGTTAACTATACTTTCATAGTTTACCTATTTGATGTCATATAAATCATTTTAATTTTCTATATAGTTTTGGTCAAACTTTAGATGCTTTGACTCTGCAAGAAAATTAAAATAACTTATAGTTTGGAATGGAGAGAGTGCATACTAAGCCCCCCTTTGAAACACATGAATTTCATGGGAATTAGATGATATAGAGAAGACATGTGATTGAAAAAAATTTTGGAAACAACTATGCCTTG